CTACCGAAAACTTCGGAAATTTTATTGCCGGGAGCGTGTCCGCTCGAGCAACCAAAATTTCCGAAATTTTACTACCGCGAGATTTCCTAAAGGCACAAAATTTCGGATATTTTAGTAGCGGGAAGAAATTGCTCCCGGTACTAAAATTTCCGAAATATTAGTACCGCGAGAGAGGCACGCAAGAGGCTTTCAAAAGGAAACGCGCCAAAGTACGAGGTTCCAGGGGCCAGGGGCGCGCACAAAAAAACGGAGGCGACCAGCACGACACCGTTTTATTAGAGAATATTCTTAGGTTATCGATCTTATTTCTTATTAAGATGAATTAAAAGTATTTCTTTGGAACATCTTTAGAAAATATAGAATATCTTAAGAAATCGGATTTTTTATAGTTTAAATGAATTGTTTATGTAATTGTTTTCGTAAATTAAATCTATATTAGAAAGAAGTTTATCAAAATTCGAATCATAAATTCTAAGATCCGATTCATATCTTCTTATGAGTAATATAGAAAAGAAAGATCTTCAAATAATTGAATGATTATAATCATCGTATTCTTATATAATTCACCTAAAAATGTATTATCTATATATGAGAATTATCATATGAAACTAGTTTCTATGATTTTGTGATTATTAGAAATTATATATCTATCTCTTGTCATCATATGTCATCGCACGACGAAAGATTTTGCCCCTTGGCCAAGGAGATACAGAATTAACGGGACGGTCTTGTGAAAAGCAACCCGTGGCGATCAATATTCGTTCGCCGCGTGTTTCTGCTTTCGGCAATTAAATGGGTCGTATTCCACTCGTGCCCTGGCGATGCAATTTGTCACCTATACCTATCCAAACATGACGAATGCTTCATATATAGCAGCAGAGAAGTGAAAGACTTTCACGGGCAAAGGAGAGGGCACGCTTCGACCTAAAGGAGCACCATCCAAGCAAGCCACAGCCGAAACTCGCAGTCTGTTCAGGTTTCCTGTCTGCGAATCAAAAAACAATAAGAGATTGCGAACAATCGTGCCGTTCTATCCGACCCTACGTCATAATGCGAGTATCTTCTGAAGGTGCGTGAATGGATAACAACGCTACAGAGTGTCACAGCCTGACATCATCCGAGAAGGTCAGGTTCAAGCAAGCCTTCACTCAACCACCACTACACGGTCTTGACCACACCTTACTTCAACCAACAAGTCGTCGTCCCTTGGCCAACACCCTGCGCGGGTGTCTCTTTGAGGAGCATGGGTGAACCATGCAACGTCCAGCCCACACGCTACGGACGTTGGGATGCATAAAAATCTCAGTGTGCCCGAATGGACAGCCTGGCCCTGTTGACACATCTCACAAATCACTTCGTGGCACAGGTGGGCCGCCCTTGGACTTCGCATACCGGCCAACAAATGGATCCGGGTCAGCTCCTGCATCAAGCAGGTAACACAATGCCATCAATTCTTTGCTGCACTCGGTAGCACGAACGGCAGGAGGGCATGTCAGGGGCTCCAGTAGCCACCTTTCGTTTCGGAGGAAGGGCCCAGGCGCACTTCTTATTGACTGCTCGCCCCGCTTTTAGTGAGCGGGAATGCTGTGCAGTCTGGCCGGAATCCTAGTTCAATGGAAATGAAGGGAGTCAGAGACCTCTGATTGCTTCAGAAAGCTTCCGTATAGCAAGAGCGCACACTGTATCTCTTCGCCCACAGAAGCCTTCTGCTTGATTAGGGACTCTCTATGCAGCTGGTAAGAAGGCCTCGACCATGCCAAATGTCACAGGGGCTGTGGTGGACATTCGTGCCGCAGGATTCTCAATTTGACGAATTCACACGAGGAAGCCATCTCCGACAAGCAAATCCTAGACATTCCAGCGACGCAACATAAGAACAAAGCGAGCAAGTTCACTTCTACCGACAGGAGGACCAGCAGAGGCCCCAAACACAGTATAACCGTACGCGAGCTCGGCAGACACTTGACCGTTGTTTCTAGCGCCAAGGAGCGTCGACGAATGCAAGAAGACTCATCACGAGTGGTATTCTCGACACTAGTGACACTAGTGGTGGTCGTGGTAGCAAAACCCCTCTCACGGTCATCATGTCTCAACTTCTGGAAAGCCTTCGCTTCTTGGAGAGCGCCCGTGCCCGGTGAACGTGGACAGAGGCGAGGGCGGGCGTGTGACTTCACATGTCTCATGCCTGGCTTTCTCGATTTTGCAGTCATCTTTTGACGATTTGTCTTACATGGTCGTGCAGGCTCACTGGAAAGCACGAACAAATAAAGTCCGGCACCTTAGGTTAGGTGACAGGCCGAACGAATGTCCTCACTTGAGGAAGAAGCCGTACGAGTGCAAGCCAATGCCCATCAAGTTGACCTTCGCACTTCGACTCGAGACAGGTGAGATGATTTACATGTTCTGTCTGTTCTGTCATTGTAGATGTGACACACCAGCATCATCACAAGCGTAGCCCACAATTTGCAACTGCAATGCCGCATGTCTCGAGCATGGCTCAGGCACTCACGCCAATGTAGCACACCCAGACTACCTAAGCTTGCATTCTGCCGTTCAAGCAAAACATGCTTTTGTGGCCTTGGCTGTTCAAAAGTAATCTTCTTAAGTTTAAGCCCCCTGCGAGGAAACCGAAGGCACCGATCTTGGCACTTTCGCGAGTATCCCAACCAAGCTGCAACCTGCCGGCTGCTGTTCGATGAGATTTGAAGCGATCCCCGTGTACCCCAAAGCGAGCACGCTCAAAATACAATCATCTCCGATAGCAAACACTTGTTCTTGACTTCTTCCGAACATCCGGTGCATTCTGAGCAGCATGGATTAATCATTAGTGCCGGGATTCCCTCTACTTTACCTTAAGGGAACGAGCGTGTGGTGAAAGTGCGCTTACCCTGCCGCTTGTCCCAACTCTGCAATGTCATTTCGGTTGAGATGAGCATGTCTTGCAACAAAGCCGCGGCACACCTACAAAAAGAGGGCCTCGATAAATGCATCGCAGCAAAGAACAATGCAACATCATGCAAGGACAAAGCACGACTCAACAACCTGAGCCTGAGTGAGAGCTCTCGTGAAGGTTCTCTCTGATTCTCTCTCTCACCGTATCGCTTAAGTTCTGCGACCTCGAGGCTGTCACAAGGTGTAATGTTTGGCGCTCCTCAGGAAATTGGGATATAAAGCCCCCGATGCCCAAAAAAGCCCCCACCCACCCCTGGCCTGGTGTGAAGGTAGCCAGCATACACCAACCAGGTGATGAGAGCCCAGGTCTCCTATGAGGTTTTTGGGAGCATCAAAGGCCAAGGGACTCCGGGATCGTAGGGGTCCCGGGCAACACCGGCATACGCTAGCTTAGCCTAGATAGTAGGACAGTTGTTGCGAGGACCCCTAAAGAAGGGACCCCTCATTGTGTGAGGCCTCGTTTGACTGCAGGACATTGTCAAAAAAAACAGCATGGACCTGTATGCAACAACAGCTTCCCGCCAACATATTATCGAACACGAAAGGAATGAAGCCAATGCAGGCAAAATTAGTCCCTTCTCAAACTGCCGGATCCAACATTCCAACATGATGTCAACGCAGACTGAGTGAATAGAATGATTTAACAGTCCGCGGCATCTCGCTCCTTCGGATCCCAGCTCCAGTAGTTGCCCCAAGCTTCGTTCGCCCAAACGGCACCGGAAACAATTCCGACCGTCCTCGGAAAGGAGCATCGATGCATCAAACTTTGGTCCTCTGGTGTTGGTGACTGCAATCTCAGACTGCAGCAGGAAGCCGAAGCCCAGCAACAGCGAGCGGTAAGCCAGGTCATCCAAGGTAATGGCGAGTTGGTCGTCCTTTCGCGAGACTTGTGCAGCCCCCGCCTCTCGAAAAATCACGGTTTCTGCGGCAGGCGGCTCCTCTGAAAGGACGGCCGTGCCCGAAGAGGACGTGAACTCAACTGTGACCTAAGTTACTTTGCTAACGCACGCCCCCTGCGCCATGCACCGGCTGCTGCTGGGAGCAGCTAACGAGGCAACTGCGCTGCCGGCACCCGCAGCGGCACTGGTGCTTGCAACTGCTACCTGTCACGAGTTGGAAGCCTTCAACGACGCTTTAAGAACTTCAATCGAGCCTGCGTCCTGTCCTGGCGTTCAACCTGGCTGGCCGTGTTGCCAGCATCGAGGCCGGTTGTGCCAGTCATGGCAACCGCCGGGGACTGGCAAGTCAGAACTTCAATGCACGGCGGCAAGAAGGGGCACAGTTGAACACGAGGTTCCATAATCATAAGCCGATAAACCGATAGCACCCCAAACGACTATTCACCAGGATGTGGTCTCTCTCGGTGGAGCACCCAAGATCTTCGCCCAGGGCCTCTTAGGAGCAGGTCCTCTCTTGTTTGACTCCTGGCTCAAGCCTTTTGCTACAGTCACTACAGTGCAACTCCCGACCTGTCCAGCAGTGGCAACAGCTGGCTGTGGCCTGTCAGCGTTAGTCCAGCTACGAAATAAAGGCATCCACAGCCACCGACACGTCGTACTGGCTGGCGGACTGCAAGCCGTTGGCGATGCCCTGCAGCGCCGGCTGCGCAGCCTTCCATCGAAGGAAGGGTTGGTGCGACGTAGACTTGATCTGCTAATTAGGGTCCGTGTGAGTAGCTCGTTGGAGAGCCAAAGAAAATAAGACCACTCATGCAAGCCCTAGTCCTAATAAAGGGCCACGAATTTCAAGAAGCCTACGTTTACACGAAGACCCATGGACAGCCGCCGTTCTTTTGTCCCCTTCTTGCCATTCAGACGCCTCGCGGAGCACGGTGATGGGGCTGTCTTTGGGTTGGCTCAATGCCAACACGGCCATACCTAAAGTGTAGGCGATTGGATTGAAGCTGCGCAATAAGAGCTACCTTTGCAGTACTTCGTGACGCCAAATGTGCCACAGACTTTACCAAGTAGCAAAAGCAAGTGTGCAAGGAGTTACTGTCCACTTCTGACGAGATGACAAGCATAGGTCCGTGGCAAAGCACCGACCCAAACATCAGCGTGGCATAGGAGCACATCACAACCTCGAACAGAGACACGTTGACATACCCAGCCGCTAGAGTGCATAGCCGACGTTGGATTCAATGTCTTCGAAGTGCACGACAAGAGGGACAGGACACTCGGGTTGCTGGCTGAAACGTGCATCACGAGCCAGTTCGACCTGCTGCTCCGGGTGCCAATTGACAGCAAGCGCAAACACCCGACTCGCAAGCGTTCGAACATGAAATCGGTGGCGATTCCACGTGTCGGACTCAGTGTGGGACTGCAGGGCAGGCACCAGCGCTGAGGCTTTCTGCAATGCCTGCCGCCAATTGGCGTTCTGGCTCAAGCTTCAACTTTGATATAGCCATATAAAATGTACTGTTTATATATATATATATATGTGTGTGTGTGTGTATATATATATATATACGTACAGACAGACAGTTTCATATATACATATGCATGTGTATATATATATATGCATGTGTGTATATATATATAACATGTATATGGTATTATTAGCTTGGAGAACAGACTGAAACGGAAGTGCTGCAACCTCGCCTTCGGCAAAGAAAACTGGGCAAAGGCGACGATGCCCAGAGCCACAGGTGATGCCCAAACCGCCTCGAGAGGATTTAGGGCTTAGGGCTTAAGGGCCGGGGCCTTCTAAAGAAAACTAGAGCCCTGCTTGTTTTGGATACTATGTGACAGTGTGGGAGGCCTTGAAGCAGCCCAAGTCTAAACATGTCAAGCTGCTTGCGTCGTTGCATGGTTAATTGGAACCGCAAGTCTGCCGAGTTCATTGTTGATTTTCCCGAGAGCTCACGCTCTCTGCAGGCTGCCTTTCTTGATGACACTTCCAAGCTCCGTTGACCTTTTCGTGAGTCCCCCTGCTGGGGAGAGGTCTTTCTCGAAGCACTCCCGCATCGCAGATCCAAGGGCACTCAGCCAAGCCACGGCAATGTCGGTGGTGTTCTGTTTCGCCTGCAGACATGCATCGAACCAGGCACAGAACAGCAAGCATCTTGGGTGTGGCCTCCGATGACTTGGAGTTGGTTTGCATGTCGAAGGCTTTCAGCTCCTCGGCCTCACTTGCCTGGCTAGCCTCAGTAGCTCGAGTGGTGGTCCAGCGGTACCGCTTCGAGCCAGCAAAGCCAAGCTCGCGGTACAACGCAAACCGTGCAAAGACTTGGCCGCTGACGGTAAAATACAGTGTCACTGCCGTAACACCCCACCTTGCAGCACCGGCTGAAGTAGTCCGAAGCTGACATCATGGAAGATGCTTTACCCATGTTACTTACCCGGAAGGTTCTGTGAGGAGGCGGCGCCAAAAAGCTGAGCGACTCATACATGTTCGACAGGGGGAAGTGGCCTGAAAAGCGTTCATTCCACAAGGAAAACCTGTGCGCATGCCTTACTGAAGCTTTTGGGCCATGACCACTCTCCAGCCAACGGTTGGAGAGCAGCACCTAAAGACCACTCAATGGGTTTTGTTGGTCTCTGCCAAGCGATGGCACAGCTTGGAGTCCCTCCAGCTGAAGCTCTGAGTCGCCAGCTACCAGGGCAAGGTTCGCGAATGACATGGCCTGCAGAGGTCTGCAAGGCAAAAGCTCTGGACTGAAGAGCCGAAGATCGAGGCCCGATCATAAAACGAAGGAGGCTTGCCCTCTGTAGAAGCCTGCAGCGACCGCAGCATTTCACTCGGCTTTGACCATTCAAGCGGCTTCCAGGAAGTCCGAAAACTGCTCTGACTGTGTGAGTGCACTGTGACGCTGCCTGTCCGCTGCCCAGCGTGCCGCGCCACCAAGCCAAAAACGTGCTCACCTGGCACAACGAGCTCTCTCTGGCATGATGGCATGGCCACCTTAGAACCTTCGCCCCAGCTTAGGCGGCAGCCAGCAGGCCGCCGAAAGCTGCTCTCTCAGCCCAGCCCTGCAAATCTCCAGCTTCCATCACCTCAAAGTGCACTCCGAAGTTGCATGAAGTGCAGTGCCTGCATGGAAGGTCCAAAGGCGGGTGCTAGCACCAGTTCATTCAGAGCCAACACCCGCAGCTACCGTAAGGAGAAGTGTACTCTGGCTTTCGACGCGACCCAAACTTACAATAAGAAGCTCCAAGCCTGAACACGGTGACCAGAGTCTGACATACAAGCCATATGCTTCTCGCCGTGTCAAAGGCCCGTGGATGCCACAGGCTCCCATGATTTTCCAAGGCGGTGGCTCCAGGAGCCCCGTGTGCCAGTGGATCATCCACCGCATTGGCTGGTGCCGTCAAGGCCTCAGAGAGCAAGAAAGAAAGCGGCATGGCGTGACTGCTTGCCATCACAGCTTCAAAGACTCGGGCAAACAGTGTACCTGCACCCACAGCGCCAGAAAGGTTCGGCACCTGCCACGAGTGCACGCATGTGCACGCCGAGTCGAAAAAAGCTTCGATGGAATCCGTCCAAGCCGTAGGGCCTGCTCCGGCGCCTTCTTTCCTGCAGCACAGCATGGGCGCAGCATGCATCAGCTTTCAATGTAGAAGATGCAAGTATGGTGCCTTGGGGCGCTGGAACAAAAGCTGGCGAGAAATAGGTGAGAGCCAGCACCTGCTCAAAAGTTCGCAGGTGTCAGCATCTGCAAGGGGTGTGCGCCCGAGGTCCATGCTAGAATGGTGGGCAGCAAAATCTGGCGTCTTTGCCTGGCCTCGGTGCTTCAAAACATCTAGGGCCACTGCTTGACTTCGCATACTTTGAAATGCCTTGCATATAAAGGAGTTATGTGGCCGGCCATGCTGATTTCCTCGAGGCCTCGAGGCATCATGGACATTTAGAGATTCCTGTTTCGGACATCGGGCACGGAACAAGGTAATAGAGGGCTTTATTGCACGAGGATAGAGCTTTGGGGTATGTTATACTACAAATTACTACACTTATGTTAGGTCCTGCAATCCACTCTCAGGAAATACTGTATAACTTTTCCGACCCCTATAGTTGCAGGAGCCTTGTCTATCACCAGGCGTGCTGCGACGAGGACTAAAGGGCGCAGCAGACTTTGAGAATATGGCGAGGCAGCATGCAGCAGTGGAGTTACAAAAGAAGCAAACATGTGCACGAGTGCCCATGCAATCATGCAAGTGCTTGCAAAGCAGCCATGTTCTTTAGTTTTGGTTGTTGCAAATGCCTCCTGGGATTGACTTTGCAGGCACATGGCCCGACACCACTAAATCTAAATTATAGAGGAAAACATCTCAAAATCTAGACCAAAATTTTTACTATCCGGTTCTTATCTTCCTAATTTTGAAAAGAACAGATCTTCAACAAATTAATATGTATAATCATCTCATAGTCGTACTATTTAACTCATGCTAATTATGACTTTCTTGATAGTCTCTCAAACTATTTACGTAATTCAATTCTATCTACAAATATATTGTCTTAGCAGTCTTCATTCTTATTCTTGTAATTAAGCATGCATGATCATTCTCATATTGAACCAGACTCTGTCATTTTATGATGGTAAAATATTATATGATATGTTTGTCTTTTGTCATCGCGCGGCGAAAGATTTTGCCCCTTGGCCAAAGAGACGCAGAATTAACGGGTCTTGGGAAAATCAGCCATGGCGATCAATATTCGTTCGCCGCGAGCTTCTTCTTCCGGCAATTAAATGGGGCGGTATTCCACTCGTGCCCTCGTAATGCAATCTGCCACCTATCTAAACATGACGAATGCTTCATGCATAGTGAAAGACTTTCACGGGCAAAGGAGAGGGCACGCAGTTCGCTCTAAAGGAGCGTCATCCAAGCAAGCCACAGCCGAAACTCGCAGTCTCTTCAGGTCTCTTGTCTGCGAATCAAAAACAATAAGAGATTGCGATCAATCGTGCCGTTCTATCCGACCCTACGTCATAATGCGAGTATCTTCTGAGGGTGCGTGAATGGATAACAACGCTACAGAGTGTCACAGCCTGACATCATCCGAGAAGGTCAGGCTAAAGCAAGCCTTCACTCAAAAACCATTACACGGTCTTGACCACTTACTTCAACCAACAATTCGTCGTCCGTTGGCCAACACCCTGCGCGGGTGTCTCTTTGAGGAGCATGGGTGAGCCGCGCAACGTCCAGCCCACACGCTACGGACGTTGGGATGCGTAAAAATCTCAGTGTGCCCGAATGGACAGCCTGGCACTATTGACATATCTCACAAATCACTTCGTGGCACAGGTGGGCCGCCCTTGGACTTTGCATACCGGCCAACAAATGGATCCGGATCAGCTCCTGCACCAAGCAGATAACAACATTCCATCAATTGTTTTCTGCATTCGGTAGCACGAACGGCGGGGGGGCATGTCAGGGGCAGCAGTAGCCTAGACCAAGGCAAGGACTAAGAAGTCGAGGCGGTACAATTCGCGAAGAATGCATTGGATACGAAGGCGACACTCAGGAGTTTCCACGTATCATTCTCGTTAAGAAAGTCAGCAGGCACTGAACTCTCAAGTGTGGCTATCGGAAGGGTGCGTCTCGTCGGGAGCTTGGGCTTTGCAGGTCCGCACCAACGCTTTTCAGAATGGGAACCCAAAGGCCACCCCAAATCCCAATCCACCCCAAGAGGAAAAAAAGCAAGAAAATCCATCACTTCCTTTTTCAGCCACCTTTCGTTTCGGAGGAAGGGCCCAGGCGCACTTCTTATTGACTGCTCGCCCCGCTTTTAGTGAGCGGGAATGCTGTGCAGTCAGGCCGGAATCCTAGTTCAATGGAAATGAAGGGAGTCAGAGACCTCTGATTGCTTCAGAAAGCTTCCGTATAGCAAGAGCGCACACTGTATCTCTTCGCCCACAGAAGCCTTCTGCTTGATTAGGGGCTCTTCGGCAAACCTATGCAGCTGGTAAGAAGGCCTCGACCATGCCAAATGTCACAGGGGCTGTGGTGGACATTCGTGCCGCACGATTCTCAATTTGACGAATTCACACGAGGAAGCCATCTCCGACAAGCAAATCCTAGACATTCCAGCGACGCAACATAAGAACAAAGCGAGCAAGTTCACTTCTACCGACAGGAGGACCAGCAGAGGCCCCAAACACAGTATAACCGTACGCGAGCTCGGCAGACACTTGACCGTTGTTTCTAGCGCCAAGGAGCGTCGACGAATGCAAGAAGACTCATCACGAGTGGTATTCTCGACACTAGTGACACTAGTGGTGGTCGTGGTAGCAAACCCCTCTCACGGTCATCATGTCTCAACTTCTGGAAAGCCTTCGCTTCTTGGAGAGCGCCCGTGCCCGGTGAACGTGGACAGAGGCGAGGGCCGTGTGACTTCACATGTCTCATGCCTGGCTTTCTCGATTTTGCAGTCATCTTTTGACGATTTGTCTTACATGGTCGTGCAGGCTCACTGGAAAGCACGAACAAATAAAGTCCGGCACCTTAGGTTAGGTGACAGGCCGAACGAATGTCCTCACTTGAGGAAGAAGCCGTACGAGTGCAAGCCAATGCCCATCAAGTTGACCTTCGCACTTCGACTCGAGACAGGTGAGATGATTTACATGTTCTGTTCTGTCATTGTAGATGTGACACACCAGCATCATCACAAGCGTAGCCCACAATTTGCAACCGCAATGCCGCATGTCTCGAGCATGACTCAGGCACTCACGCCAATGTAGCACACCCAAACGACCTCAGCTTGCATTCTGCCGTTCAAGCAAAACACGCTTTTTGTGACCTTGGCTGTTCAGAAGTAATCTTCTTAAGTTTAAGCCCCCTGCGAGGAAACCGAAGGCACCGATCTTGGCACTTTCGCGAGTGTCCCAACCAAGCTGCAACCTGCCCGGCTGCTGTTCGATGAGATTCGAAGCAATCCCCGTGTACCCCAACGCGAGCACGCTCAAAATACTCGTCTCCAATGGCAAGCACTTGTTCTTGACTTCTTCTGAACATCCTGTGCATGTCAAGAACTGTCGCAAGTTGACCAACGCTGCACCCTCCTCAGTTCTGAGCAGCATGGATTGATCATTAGTGCCGGGATTCCCTCTACTTTACCTTAGGGGAAGGAGCGTATGGTGAAAGTGCGCTTGCCCTGCCGCTTGTCTCAACTCTGCAATGTCGTTTCGGTTGAGATGAACATGTCTTGCAACAAAGCCGCCACACACCTAAAAAAAGGGCCTCGACAAATGCATCGCAGCAAAGAACAATGCAACATCATGCACGGACAAAGCACGACTCAACAACCCGAGCCTGATTAAGAGCTCTCGTGAAGGTTCTCTCTGATTGTGGTTCTCTCACCGTATCGCTTAAGTTCTGCGACCTCGAGGCTGTCACAAGGTGTAAAGTGTAATGTTTGGCAGTTTGGCGCTCCTCAGCAAACTGGGATATAAAGCCCCCACCCCACCCCACCCCTGGCCTGGTGTGAAGGTAGCCAGCATACACCAACCAGGTGATGAGAGCCCAGGTCTCCTATGAGGTTTTTGGGAGCAAGGGACTCCGGGATCGTAGGGGTCCCGGGCAACGACGGCATACGCTAGCTTAGCCTAGATAGTAGGACAGTTGTTGCGAGGACCCCTAAAGAAGGGACCCCTCATGTGTGAGACCTCGTTTGACTGCAGGACATGGCCACAAAAAACATGGACCTGCATGCAGCAACAGCTTCAGGCCAACATGTTGTCGAACACGAAAGGAATGAAGCCAATGCAGGCAACATAGTCCCTTCTCAAACTGCCGGATCCAACGTTCCAACATGATGTCAAACGCAGACTGAGTGAATAGAATGGTTTAACAGTCCGCGGCATCTCGCTCCTTCGGATCCCAGCTCCAGTAGTTGCCCCAAGCTTCGTTCGCCCAAACGGCACCGGAAACAATTCCGACCGTCCTCGGAAAGGAGCATCGATGCATCAAACTTTGGTCCTCTGGTGTTGGTGACTGCAATCTCAGACTGCAGCAGGAAGCCGAAGCCCAGCAAAAGCGAGCGGTAAGCCAGGTCATCCAAGGTAATGGCGAGTTGGTCGTCCTTTCGCGAGACTCGTGCAGCCTCCCGCCTCTCGAACAATCACGGTTTCTGCGGCAGACGGCTCCTCTGAAAGGACGGCCGTGCCCGAAGAGGACGTGAACTCAACTGTGACCTAAGTTACTTTGCTAACGCACGCCCGCCATGCACCGGCTGCTGCTGGGAGCAGCTAACGAGGCAACTGCGCTGCCGGCACCCACAGCGGCACTGGTGCTTGCAACTGCTACCTGTCACAAGTTGGAAGCCTTCAACGACGTTTTAAGAACTTCAATCGAGCCTGCGTCCTGTCCTGGCGTTCAACCTGGCTGGCTGTGTTGCCAGCATCGAGGCCGGTTGTGCCAGTCATGGCAACCGCCGGGGACTGGCAATTCAATGCGCGCCGGCAAGAAGGGGCACAGTTAGTTGAACACGAGGTTCCACAATCATAAGCCGATAAACCGATAGCACCCCAAATGACTGTTTACCAGGATGTGGTTTCTCCCGGTGGAGCACACACGATCTTCGCTCAGGGCTTCTTAGGAGTGGGTCGTCTCTTGTTTGAGTCCTGGCTCAAGCCTCTTGCTACAGTCACTACAGTGCAACTCCCGACCTGTCCAGCAGTGGCAACAGCTGGCTGTGGCCTGTCGTTCCGCTACGAAATTAAGGCGTCCACAGCCACCGACACATCATACTAGCTGGCGGACTGCAAGCCGTTGGCGATGCCCTGCAGCGCCGGCTGCGCAGCCTTCCATCGAAGGAAGGGTTGGTGCGACGTAGACTTGATCGGCTAATTAGGGCCCGTGTGAGTAGCTTGTTGGAGAGTCAAAGAAAGCAAGTTAATAAGACCCCTAATGCGAACCCTAACCCAAACAAAGGGCCACGAATTTCAATCCCTACGTTTATATGAAGACCCATGGACGGCCGCCGTTCTTTTGCCCCGTTCTTGCCATTCAGACGCCTCTCGGAGCGCGGTGATCGGGCTGTCTTTGGGTTGGCTCAATGCCAACACGGCCATACCTAAAGTGCAGGCGATTGGATTGAAGCTGTGCAACAAGATCTGCCTATGCAGTACTTCGTGCGCAGCCAAACCGCTAAATGTGCCACAGACTTTAGCAAGTAGCAAAAGCAAGTGTGCAAGGAGTTACTGTCCACTTCTGACGAGATGACAAGCACAGGGCCCTGGCAAAGCACCGACCCAAACATCAGCGTGGCATAGGAGCACATCACAACCTCGAACGGAGACACGTTGACATACCCAGCTGCTAGAGTGCAGAGCCGACGTTGGATTCAATGTCTTCGAAGTTCGAAGTGCACGACAAGAGGGACAGGACACTCGGGTTGCTGGCTGAAACGTGCATCACGAGCCAGTTCGACCTGCTGCTCCGGGTGCCAATTGACAGCAAGCTCAAACATCCGACTCGCGAGCGTTCGAACATGAAATCGGTGGCGATTCCACGTGTCGGACTCAGTGTGGGACTGCAGGGCCGGCACCAGCGCTGAGGCTTTCTGCAATGCCTGCCGCCAATTGGCATTCTGGCTCAAGCTTCAACTTTGATATGGCTATATACTGTATACTGTATGTATGTATGTATGTATGTATAAATGAATAATATGTACTGTCTATATATATACACACATACATACAGACAGTTTCATATATATATATATGCATGTGTATATGTATATATATATATATGTATATGCATATCATAAATATATATATATATATGTATGTATGTATGTATGTATGTATGTATATGGTATTTTTATCTGGGAGAACAGACTGAAACGGAAGAGCTGCAACCTCGCCTTCGGCAAAGAAAACTGGGCAAAGGCGACGATGCCCAGAGCCACAGGTGATGCCCAAACCGCCTCGAGAGGGTTTAGGCTTAGGGCTTAGGGGCCAGGGCCTTCTGAAAAATAACGAAGCGCTGCTTGTTTTGGGTGCTATGTGACAGTGTGGGAGGCCTTGAAGCAGCTCAAGCCTAAACATGTCAAGCTGCTTGCGTCGTTGCATGGTTAATTGGAACCTCAAGTCTGCCGAGTTCATTGTTGATTTTCCCGAGAGCTCACGCTCTCTGCAGGCTGCCTTTCTTGATGACACTTCCAAGCTCCGTTGCTTGCTATGACTCCTCTTAGAAAACCTTTTCCCACTGAAGGCCCTCCTTCATTTACCTTTTCGCGAGTCCCCCTGCTGGGGAGAGGTCTCCCTCGAAGCACTCCCACATCGCAGATCCAAGGGAACTCAGCCAAGCCACGGCAATGTCGGTGGTGTTCTGTTTCGCCTTCAGACATGCATCGAACCAGGCACAGAACAGCAAGCATCTTGGGTGTGGCCTCCGATGACTTGGAGTTGGTTTGCATGTCGAAAGCTTTCAGCTCCTCGGCCTCACTTGCCTGGCTAGCCTCAGTAGCTCGAGTGGTGGTCCAGCGGTACCGCTTCGAGGCAGCGAAACCAAGCTCGCGGTACAACGCAAACCGTGCAAACACTTGGCCGCTGACGGTAAAATACAGTGTCACCGCCGTAACACCCCACCTTGCAGCACCGGCTGAAGTAGTCCGAAGCTGACATCATTTACCTATGTTACTTACCCGGAAGGTTCTCTGAGGAGGCGGCGCCAAAAAGCTGAGCGACTCATACATGTTCGACAAGGGGAAGTGGCCTGAAAAGCGTTAATTCCACAAGGAAAACCTGTGCGCATGCCTTACTGAAGCTTTTGGGCCATGACCACTCTCCAGCCAACGGTTGGACAGCAGCACCTAAAGACCACTCAATGGGTTTTGTTGGTCGCTGCCACGCGATGGCACAGCTTGGAGTCCCTCCAGCTGAAGCTCTCAGTCGCCAGCTACCAGGGCAAGGTTCGCGAACGACATGGCCTGCAGAGGTCTGCAAGGCAAAAGCTCTGGACTGAAGAGCCGAAGATCGAGGCCCGATCATAAAACGAAGGAGGCTTGCCCTCTGTAGAAGCCTGCAACGACCGCAGCATTTCACTCGGCTTTGACCATTCAAGCGGGCTTCCAGGAAGTCCGAAAAGTGCTCTGACTGTGAGAGTGCACTGTGACGCTGCCTGTCCGCTGCCCAGCGTGCCGCGCCACCAAGCCAAAAATGTGCTCACCTGGCACAACGCGCATGATGGCATGGCCACCTTAGCACCTTCGCCCCAGCTTAGGCGGCAGCCAGCAGGCCGCCGAAAGCTGCTCTCTCGGCCCAGCCCTGCAAATCTCCAGCTTCCATCACCTCAAAATGCACTCCGAAGTTACATGAAGTGCAGTGCCTGCATGGAAGGTCCAAAGGCGGGTGCTAGCACCAGTTCATTCAGAGCCAACACCCGCAGCTACCGTAAGGAGAAGTGTACTCTGGCTTTCGACGCGACCCAAACAGTAAGAAGCTCCAAGCCTGAACACGGTGACCAGAGTCTGACATGAAAGCCATATGCTTCTCGCCATGTCAAAGGCCCGTGGATGCCACAGGCTCTCATGATTTTCCAAGGCGGTGGCTCCAGGAGCCCCGTGTGCCAGTGGATCATCCACCGCATTGGCTGGTGCCGTCAAGGCCTCAGAGAGCAAGAAAGAAAGCGGCCTGGCGTGACTGCGTGCCATCACAGCTTCAAAGACTCGGGCAAACAGTGTACCTGCACCCACAGCGCCAGAAAGGTTCGGCACCTGCCACGAGTGCAGGCATGTGCACGCCGAGTCGAAAAAAGCTTCGATGGAATCCGTCCAAGCCGTAGGGCCTGCTCCGGTGCCTTCTTTCCTGCAGCACAGCATGGACGCAGCATGCATCAGCTTTCAATGTAGAAGATGCAAGTATGGTGCCTTGGGGCGCTGGAACAAAAGCTGGCGAGAAATAGGTGAGAGCCAGCACCTGCTCAAAAGTTCGCAGGTGTCAGCATCTGCGAGGGGTGTGCGCCCGAGGTCCATGCTAGAATGGTGGGCAGCAAAATCTGGCGTCTTTGCCTGGCCTCGGTGCTTCAAAACGGGCCACTGCTTGACTTCGCATACTTTGAAATTCGCTGCATATAAAGGAGTTATGTGGCCGGCCATGCTGATTTCCTCGAGGCCTCGAGGCATCATGGACATTTAGAGATTCCTGTTTCGAACATCGGACACGGAACAAGGTATTTTAGGGCCTTGTTCAACGAGGATAGAGCTTAGGGATATGTTATACTACAAATTACTATACTTATGTTAGGTCCTGTAATCCACTCTCAGGACATACTGTATAACTTTTCCGACCCCTATAGTTGCAGGAGCCTTGTCTATCACCAGGCGTGCTGCGACGAGGACTAAAGGGCGCAGCAGACTTTGAGAATATGGCGCGGGCAGCATGCAGCAGTGGAGTTGTACAACAATGCAACATATGCACGAGGGCCCGTGCAATCATGCAAGTGCTTGCAAAGCAGCAAGGTTTTTGTCTTGAGTGTTGCAAATGCCTCTTGAGATTGACTTTGCAGGCACATGGCCCGACACCAGTGCTCATAGCATGTTGCAATAGCACGGTGTTCAACAAGTGCGGTTCCTCGCTGTGCAGATCTGCACGGGTGCATTATCAGCTTCGGCAGGGCTGCATTCGTAGCCGCCAAAGTCCTATGTAAAAAATATTTTGCTGCCTAGCCCGAGGTGATGGCTCCGATATCTGTGCGCTGTGCAAGACTGGGGAAGGGGAGTTGTCCACATCTCTCCACTGGCTGCCTCATGGTATACTATACTATACTATACTACACTATACTAGACTATACTCTACTAGACTATACTTCACTAGACGGCACATGACGACACTATACCATAGTGAAGTCCCCTTCTCTGGCAGGCTTTGGTGTCACAATGTCTCACAGTGCCGGGTCCACCTCGCCAGGTATGAGGCCTGCACTGCTTGCGGTGCGCCGGTTCCAGCCATTCAAACTCATTTAAGTTTCAATGGCACAATTACTTCTGTCGTTCCCAGCGAATCCGAAACTATGTCTGTGTGACTCACTTTGATTTGGAACTTTGGCCCACATCCATGTGCATTGCAAGCCTCGCTATCGCTGCGGTGGCGACTGACATGATTCCGCTCTGTTGAGAAATGCTTGCGACACACCTCAGCCAACAAACAGCTGTGATGGTCTGAAGGATGATGCTGGCCTACCGAATTACCAGCCTTGTATGCGAGGACCAAAAGCCTGAGCATATCTTCTCTACTCCGAAGCTGATGGGCAGCCAGGGCGCGTTGTCCCTCACAATCGGCCAAGTAGTCCCCAAGTGCTGGCATCACGGCATCCAGCTGCGCCATGGACACGGTGCCAATGCCAGCCTGAACCGGATCCATGTAAACATGTTGTTTAAACATAGCTTATAGCAGTAGTAACAACAAGATAGGCATCAGTAATATTATTGTGAACGCATGCTGAGCCGACTCATCTTGTTTTGGGGATCGCGACACATCGAATTGGGACTTGAGAGCTGCTTCCATTCTTCTTGAAGCAACATGCCGACTTTTCTGACGCATGCAAAAAAGGTCTGGAGGGCTGTCTGCTCACAACTTGGCGGGCAAGTCCCGACTCGCGGATGCGAGCAGTATGGGAGAAAAGCCCCCATGTTCGGTTCCGTTCGAGGCAGGAGAATCCCGGGTTTGGTGGGCGGCCCCCGAAGTGCCCATGGCCCCGCCTTGTCCATGAAGGCAAAGACCTCGTCGACCGGACCGTGGAAACTGAGCTTCTCCTTTCCAGAAAAATAAAATAAATAAATAAATAAATATATATATATATCAATATATATATATATACATATATCATGTGATAATAAAATATGATATAATATAATAGAATGTGATGGAATATAACGTAAGATAACATAATGCAATGTAATATAATGTAATCAAATATAACATAATGTAATATCATATAATATAATATAATACAATCTCATATATTATAATCTAAGATCGTATAATATAATATAATATATTATAATATGATGTAATATAATACAATGTAATTAATATAATGTAATATAATATAGTATAGTATAAGATATACGTATATATATATATGATACAAAAAAATATGATATACAACAGTTTAATATGGTATGACATAATAATAATAATAAGTATAATAGTAATAATAACCATAAAAAGAATAATAGTAATAATAATATTAGTAGTAGTAATAGTAATAGTAATCGTAATCGTAATCGTAATCGCAATCGTAATCGTAATCGTAATCGTAATCGTAATAAATAAAATAGTAATGGTAATAAGATAACATAACATAACATAACATAATATAACATAACATAACATAATACAAAATAACATCATATCAATTTTATTCCATTTACTGACATTTTGGATATTAATACATGTGTATATATATATACACATATCGGGTGGCTAGGGCCACTTAGCCGTCCTTGATGGCCCGCGACCATTCTGCCAGACTGAGGCTTCCTTCTCCGCTAGCAACAGCAGACCAAAGCTTCTCCTGTGATCGGACACGTCGCTCATTTGAGGCCCCTTTGAATTCGAGGCCCCTGGAAATAGCCTGGAAAGCCTTTAGCCTGCTTTCTGCAGCCGGGAGTCGGTCAGCTGGGAATTAAACTTGCGCGCTGCGAACCGCGCCAGATCGTGGAGTTGCTGTTGGGTCTCGCGCCAGAGCTCTTCAAGAATACTCCATTCTCGTCTGGACAGGAACTTCTGTCGGCCAGGAACAAAGAAGTCAAAAATCGCATCTGCCCTATGCACGACCAGCTCGTCATCTATGCTTGGGAGGAAACCCCACGAGAAAAGAGCTTGGAGAAGGTCCTGTCGTGTGAGAGCTGTTTTGTTGACCTGGCTTGCCAACAGATCAAAGCCAGCATCGGTGCTGTAGGTGTTCGAACTGCTTCTGGACGGCTCCCGCAGGGCATGGTGTAGCAAGCTGAGGACATCTTCCGGCACTTCTGTCTTGCTTGCGCACCACATCCTGGCATGAAGCTGAAACTGGATGAAACATGTCAGGCAATAAGTAGTCAAAATCATGCAAATCAGTTGTCGCAGTGATATCCAAATCGTATCTCGGCTGGGTTACGTACACAAGTGATGCCACGCCTAGTACAAACAGGCAGTGTGCATAGACTGCTAACAGTGCATCCACACGTCGCGACGACGAAAAAGACAACGCAGGTCAATTCAATGATCCGACCGGCAATGGCAACAGCATAACGATACGTGCGACTTGCGTCGGTACTCTAACATAGGTGACAACAAGCATAACAACCCAGGAAGACAGATGAAGACCATGATTCTTTCAGTTCTGATAGTAGCTGATGGTTCTTGCGGGATGAGACAGATTTGGGGCGAACCCAATCATGTTCAGAACAGCGGCACAGACTGCTTGGAGATGGTCACAAGTTTCCAGCCACCAAATTGCCTTTCAATGGGCACTCGGTCAATCAAAGCCACACTTCCGAACCGATGCGGAGCTCTTCCCTTCTACATTCGGGGTCGAGCGGCGTCTGCAGCTGCCTCCTGAACAAGATATTCCGCTCTTCGGGGATGCAACGGTACCTTCTTGCGAAGACTTTGCAGAAGCAGCGACACTTGGCATTCGCACCGTTCTTCAAGAAGCCGGGGGCACGTGGCGCTCACTGCGCCCCGACTCGGCACCTTCTCCAGGTTCTCCCAAGATTTTGGCAGCCCCTTTGGCAAAGTGATGAACCTCGCGGTCGCGAACTCCAAGGCAAGGTGGCACCGACCAGGCGTCTGCTTCATTGCAGCTCTACAGACGTGCGGGGTGTCCTGCCGATCTTGTTGCAAAGCACCGCGTCCTTCATAGTGGACTTCTCCTTGCCTCACCACATCGGTGGGTCTTCAAAGGACAGCGAACCCCTTGGAGCAGAAACTTTCTTTACAAGTGACTTCGGAGAAGAGCGAGACAGTGTGCCAGCAGGCGCTGCTCTCGCTGATCCAAGCAGAGGTCCACGAAGCCTTCTGGCTGAAGGAAAAGGAACGTCACCTGATCTGGCCAAAAAAACGGCGCAAGGGCGTGTTGCAGAGCTTCGACAACTGCATCGATATCGACTGCAGCTCGAGAGGCCACATGTCCCAAGCACTGCTGCAGCTGCCTGCTTGCCGCTGGCTCGAAGAGCACGCGAAAAACTTTCGCATTCCAAATATCCACCACCTGGCCGTCATGAATCAAAACCTGGTCATGGCCCAACATGCTTGCGTTTCGAAGGTGCCTGGAAGTAAAGCAAGATCGTCAGCTGCAGCTTGGCGTCAACCGTCTTGCACAAGCCTGTATACCACCCAGTGCGTCTGCTTCTAGGAGGAGGCTTCGACATAAACCCTCTCTCTCTCTCGCGTCGGAAAACCCCAAACCCAAAATCCTAAACCCTAAACCAGATTCAGCAGGGCTGCACAGAAGCTCACGCAACTGGGAGCTGGTCAGGAAGAGTCGGTGTCCACATCGTCTCAATGCCAGGAACTTTGCCAGGGGCGCCTCGCCATCTTGTCGTCTGGGCTCAGAACATGTGCTATGATAGTGTCCGAGTTCGTGATGTTATGACGTTTTGTATCGTGTAAGGTAGTTTACTACAGGGTTTAGCCTTGTCCAGAATGCTATTGACTCCTACACAAATCTTAGTCTAGCCAGTGTCGGACTTGCGCACAGAGGCCGACTTCCCGTTGGGAGAGGCTCAACCCTCAACCAAGGTTTAGGGTTTTTTGGTTTTGACGCTCACACTCTCTTTTTGAGCGCAAAAACCCCAAAACCTGAACCAGATTTTAGGGTTTAGGTTTGAGGGAACCACAGAAAGAGCGCAATGTCGCACCTCATCGAAGCTCGCCAATAACCTGAAAGGCATGCGACAAACTCAAATTCTCTGGCGAGGCGGTTTGAGGGAGAACGCCTCAAGCGTAGCTTCTCGACGCTGTATTTATAGATTCCCCATCCGCGCTCATGAAGCACTGAAGCCGAACACCCTCTAAAAGCCAGGCTGCTTCAGCATGCGAGCGAAGTTGGGAAGGTCGATTGGAGTTTGCTTGGGGTCTGGTCTACGTGCAGACACGTAGTCGAAGTCAAGCATACCTTCAGGAGGCGGCGACCACCTGCGCGATTTCAAGCGAGGATACCGCGCTCAGACTGCTCCGCAGCAGATGCCGCCTTGTCCAATCCATTTTCCACGGACCACCCTCATGAGTAATGTTTCGCCAGTGTGATCCGTCTCCCAGTTCCTGATGTGTGCTACACAGAAGAAAAGATGGCGCAATTGCAAAAACCGAAGGCTAACTGGGCGAAGTGCTGAGAGGTCCATCCGCTGCATGCGTCTGTCGAGCGCACTCTCCCACGCGTTGAGAACGAACAAGTGCTGCCCGACTGCCCGGTCCGCCGCTGACAGCCTAGCTTGTAAACTGTCAGGTCTAAGTGTGGAAACGGAGAGGCTGGACAGATTGCAGGACTACTTCCACCTCAGTGTCCGGCATGTCCAGCTGGTAATGGCCGGTTGGGCAGTCATAGTTGGCGCACATGAAAGTGCGAAGGTACTTGCATCTAGAGACATACTCCTCCATCGTGGTTGTCTGCAGCATCGACATGACTTGCACAAGTCGATCTTGAGGTAAACTGCATGCGCACAAGTACTCCGTCCGGTTCACCTCAGCACAGGCCATGCAGGTTGCTTGCCTCCTACGTTCCTGCGCGCTCACGCGATCAAAACTACAAAGCTGGTAGGAGCCACGAACAAGAGCGGACACCTGTCAAAAGCATGGCACCAAGTGCGATCGCAGTGATGCAGAATGGCCCGAACCAGCTGTGGTGGTGGTGGTGGTGGTGGCGGCGGTGGCGGTGGTGGTGGTGGTGGTGGCGGCGGCGGTGGTGGCGGTGGTGGTGGTGGCGGCGGTGGGGGCGGTGGGGGCGGTGGCGGCGGT